CCCCCCCCCCCCCCCCTTGTCTCTTCCTTGCAGATTTCTTTCCCCCTCCGCTTGTTCCTCTTATGCTCCGCGCCTTTGTCGTTTTCCTCCCAATCTTATACCTCTCCTCTGTGTCATCTTCGTCCTGACCGTTTGCTCCTTGTGTGTATGAAAATTAATGAAAGCGGAAATGTGTACTGGACTTGTCATTCACATGGAACTTTGTACGTCAAATACTTGTTTATTATCTCTCTCTCTTTTTTTTTCAATCATATTTAATTTTTCCATTCGTCAGAGCATAACCATGGACCTTCAGCCAACGAGGGGGCGGCATGGAAACATCTACAAGGGCCAATGTCAAGGCATATCGAGTCTCTTATTAGGGTAAGTATTGAATTCTCTGTTCAAAGGGGAGGAGAAGGGAGAGGGGGAAGGAAGGGGTGTAGTTCTCTCTTGTCCTTGGGACAGTGTTGATGTAAGCTATTATGTCTTTTTTTTTTTTTTTTTTTTTTTTGCTTTTTCATTCATCTTTTCCTGTTTAGGGTTTGGTGTCATTGGGTCTGTATAGGAAAAAGTTCCAAGGTGGGGTTTGTAGCTTGGAAATAGAAAAAAAACAGTTAAAAAAGCTACTGAAAGAAACTTAACCAATTCATCCACCCTGTAACAAAAGTGAAGAGAAAGAAATAAATTCAAATAATAGAACTGTTAACCGTTCACAAATAATAAAAGGAACGGATTTCAGTGTAAGAAAGTGAAACGGTATTCACCAGTTCGCAGTAGCTGATGCAGAGCCCAGGGCTCGATCCCTAGATCCCCACCTTACCTGTGTACAGTACCTGTGTCAACCCGTAGAGTTGAACCTGCGACCTGTAGGATGGCCGGTGGTAGGTAGGACGTCGTAGGTTACAGGGTATAGGGGATTTGAACTGTAGACCTGTCGGGTGGTCAAAGTCGTAGCTGCTACTTACCTGAAAGGGCAGAGTCGTAGCTGCTACAGTACCGAAAGGCCAAGTAGAGGTTTCTAGAAGTGGCCTTTCGGAAGTCAACCCACTGTAGGTCCAGGCAAGTGGGCAAGTGGTGGAAGTCCACCATGCAGAGTCAGCAGTCCCAGTCCAGTCAGTCCGGTCCAGTCAAGCAAGTACCGTCTGGGACTGTGTGCACGGTGGGCCAGGGAAACAGGGCAGACCAACGAGTCACAGAAGTATAAATCAAGAGGCCGCACGCAGCCATTCATTCATTCCTGCGGAAGCCATGCGGAAGCGCTGCCTCAACGACTTGTGCGAGGAGGTCTGCAGTTGGCCCGAAGTAGAAGTGGGCGAGAGTGATACAGGGTAGCCATAGCGATAGGATAGAGGTAGCCAGCGCTGCCATAGCTGCAGCTTCGGACGAAGTGTGTGTGTGTGTTGTGTGGGTGTTCGGAGTGTCGCTGTGGGATATCCAGGGTGAACAGTGTGTTGTGGGGCGCTGAGTCGCCATAGCCAGAGGAAGTGAACTCTTACCTGGAAGTCATATCTCTGAGTACTGCGTGGGCGCATGTCGCCAGTTTGCTGTGTTGCTGTTCACATGCATGAAAAGAGTGAATGAGACGAGTCTGATTGCAGAAAGAATAAGGAACAGTTAAAATTGAGGTAATCCATGACAATGAAGGGATACCTCTCTGCTCAGACCCCCCCAAGGTGGTGGATACTCCATTCTCCAATCAATTGGTTGACTCACCAGCCGGCCCGCTCTCCTGTTAATCACACTTGTGCAACTTTTATTATTATTATTATTATTATTATTATTATTATTATTATTAAAGTGCTGAGGAGGTGATGCTTGATCTCAAACGTAATTCATCTTCTCTTCGTGACCATGCTCCTCGCACTGTTGACTTCGCAACTATGTATACCAATCTTCCTCATGACAGTATTTGTCATAATGTATCAAAAGCGGTCGAGGAAGCCTATACATATGCCTTACAACAGCACACGTAGGGGCACACACATCCTCCTACCCTTAACATGATAGTTAAAGGGGCCTGACAAGGGGAGTGGACGGTTCATGGGGGACCAAACACCTTGTCTGTTTCCCAAATTCTTTAACATCTCCGTTTCATTGTCACAAGCACGTAACTTTATGCAGCGGACGACACCTTGCGACATCAGCTGATTGGCATCCCAATGGGGACTAATTCTGGTCCGGAGATAGCTAATTTGACGTTGTATTGGGACAAGGCTCGTTTTGTTGATGACCTCCAACAGCGCGATCTTCGCGCAACTCAACAATATGCGTTCACATACCGCTTGATCGATGATGTTCTCTCATGAGGACATTTGCCACCACCGTCAGAGCACTATGGCATCGAATGGAAGGAGACCACCGCGCCTGATGGCTCTTGCACATTCTTAGGTGCATGCCTCCAAGTCTGCCCTGACGGTTCCTTGCGTATCAGTGTCTTCGACAAAGCAGCCGAATGGAATTTGTCTGTTAATTCGTTATCCCAACGCTATGTCTAACGTCCCTGCACACCAGCCGGCTGGAGTGTTTACAGGCCAGCTTACTAGGTTTGAGTATGTCTGCAACAACAGGTATGATTTCAAAACGGCAGCTGCGATGCTCACACGCCGCATGCTTTTTCGCGGGCACTCTCCAACAACGCTTGCGAAATGATGGACTTCCTATATTCGTAAACGTCAACATGGGTGCCCTGCGCACCTGACCCGCCTCTCCAGCTAGTTCCACAATATGCTTCGATGGTCTATTCACCACCCACTTTCTCGTGTATCTACACGCTGCTCTCGGACTATGCCTGTCGCTGCCTCTTCTTCATTACCTGCGCCGGTCACACCTGCGTCATCATCAGTCTTAGTAACCCCTTCCATGCCATTTGTGACCCGGCCTGCCCCTTTTAGGTTCACAACTTCCTCATCGGCCTTGGTTGCTTCTAAGATTGATTCCACGGGCGCAACTCGACCAGCAACTACTGTGATGCCTTTGGTCTCGGTGTGTTCCTCCATGTCATTCGTGGCCCTGCCTGCATTGCCACCTGCACAGTCCCCTCTTCGGGTCTCACCTGTGACTGCCCCCCCTGTCTCTGCTTCAACCACTTCACCACCCCTGGCTTCACCACCCCGTCTTCACCGCCCTTATTTCCCCTGGTTTTGTCTCCGTCTGTTACCCACCTTCCTACTACTCCACCACCCTCGGCTTCACCGCTCCTACCTCCCCTGGTTTTGTCTCCATCCGTTACCCCTCTTCCTGATCCACAAACCGCTTCGTCCACACAAACTTAGTCATCCTATTCTCCGTCGGTCTCATCTGCCCCTGCGGAACGCCTACTTCGTCGTCCTGGACACCGCCCTCGGCTTACTCCCTAGCCTCCGCTTACTCCCCTTTCCTCCATCTCTGTTCTTGGACGAAGAAGAGCCTGTTCATTCTCCCCATCACTGCCCTCCCCAACATCCTGTCCCCGTCTTTTTCCGCCCCCAGCATCCGTGCCACGACTACGACGCTCTTCGACTGCCGACCTTTCTGCAACACGACAAGCACAAAATAGACGGGATGATGGTGAGGGACCATATGAGGATGAACTTGGCAAGGGGACTGTAGGGGATTGTGTGGAAAATCTGCCTGAGCGCCCTCCACCGAATCTCTGTGGCCTCGCTGTTACTAACATCTGCCTACAAGCCTATCGTCGGGAACCGTATACTCACTCTGATTTCTTAGCCATTGCTTTCGATCTTGATGCTCGGGAGCGTGAGTTATATGGCGATAACCCAACTCAGCATCCCCAACAGGATAGTAACTACACTCGAAATGGGGGATTCAATGTCTCTGTTCTGGAGACTGCATTGATAAGGCGCAAGCTTGATATGCAACATACCCTTTCGGGTGGCGACCTGGACCACTGTTCGCACGTTTATGCCTACATTCTACACACTCCTGGCCACCACGCTGGTCTTGTTCGTGCCTCTGGTTCTTGGGAATTATCGAATGGCGGTGCTACGGTGCAAACTATTACTGCCATATGTGATCTCGTGCGTAATTACCCTAATCTGCAACTGTTCCAGGTTATTGACGCCAAGGTACCTCGCTTACTTCCCTGTGTGCCTCTGCATCCGTCTCTGTGCCTGCTTCCTCACCTGTCTCCGCGCCTGTTTCTGTGTCTGTCTCCTTCCAGGTTATTGACCCTATGGGTACCTCGTGTACTTCCATGCCCGCCTCTGTGCCCGTCTCTGTGCCTGCCTCCGCACCTGTCTCTGTGCCCGTTTCCGTGTCCGTCTCCGTGCCTACCTCCGTGTCTGTCACCATGCCTGCTTCAGTCTTTATTCCCCCACATGTTGCACTAACCCTTTGTGACCTCCTTCTTTGTGTGGCCACTGACACAGTTACACTTGGCTGTGGAAAGCATTAACTTTGTCGACGTCACTACAACCATATTACTTTCGGGCCCGCTGTCTGCAGGGATGCCACCTGTATCCGGATTGTTAACATCCTCTGCATCCAGATGCAGTTTGTCCCATCTGTGCCTGCGGGTGCTATAGCGAATGTGCACTTAACTGTGATGATGAACGCGCCACAATCGTCATGGTCTGCAACTGGCATGCCCTCTGCTGTGCATGCTTCAGAGGTATGGTTGATGCTAGCCGTCCTGGGTCCTGCTGTGACGAGGTTGCTTGCCTGAATCGTCTTCGTCCTATAGATCGGCGGGAGGGCTGCTACCATCGCCTGCATCCTTATGATAGTTGTATTATCTGTCGTGAGGGTCTTACTCAGACGTAGCTTGAACCTTGATAAAAAAGATGCAGGTGCGCTGAAGAGAGTGTACAAAAGTGGGAGACCCTTCACTAAAACTGCAAGACAGTGAAAGAAGAATGCAGTAACAGAAAGAAGAAGTTTGTGTTATTTTACTTTGTTTGTACCCTGCACCCTAGTACCCTCAAAGAAAAGGTCAGAAGGGTGAAAATGAGAATAAAAAGTAAAGAAGGAAGTGCAGGTGCTCTGAAAAGCGAACGTGGTGGGCGCTTCACCAAAATTCCAAATCTGTGAAAGAAAGAAGAATACAATAGAAGAAAGAATAATACAGTAAAACAAAGAAGAAGTTGTGTCACCTCCCCTTCGCCCATCGGTTTTTCTTTTCTGCTCCTCTCTTCCTTGTGTTTGACACCTCTCCCTTACTCTGCCTCTTTCCCACAGCGTGCAAGTGGGCTGTTATGGCATATGGGGATGGGGGCAGCTCGCGCTCAACTTCATCAACGTGGCAAGCCTTGTACGTGAGAGGCGCAGTGGAGGAGGAGTTGATAAGACTGAGAAATTGAATGATTTCAATGTGTCTTTGTTTTTTTATTTTCATCCTTTGTTCAGTGTAAGAAAATAATAAAACACTGAAAGAAATAAGAATA